GAGTTTATCTCTGGGCATTCTATTTTGTTCCATTTGTCTTTCTATCTGCTTTTATTTCAGTATCATACTCTTTTGATTATTGCAGTTTTGCAATATAATTTTAAATCAGAAAGTTTAATATCTTCTGTTTTGTTCTTGCTCCAGATTGCTTCAGCTATTTGGAGTTTTTGTGGGTTCATATGAATTTCAGAAGTTTTTCTATTTCTATAAAAAATGCCATTCATATAGACATTTTGACAATATTAACGTTTCCAAACCATGAACATGAGATATCTTTTCACTTATTTGCATTGTTTTCAATTTTATTCACCAGTGTATCATAGTTTCAAGGGTAGACATCTTTTACCTCCTTGGTTAAATGCAATTCAATGTGTTTTATTCCCATTAATGCTATTGTTAACAAGATGGTTTTCTTAATTTATTTTATGGAAGTTTTGTTATTTGTGTAGATAAATACAATTAGCTTTTGTATGTTGATTTAGTATCCTGAAACTTTACTGAATGTATTTATTAGTTCTAACAGGTTTTTCAGCACAGGAGAGGAGGAATCTTTAGGGTTTTCTATAGACAAGATTATGTCATCTGCAAACAGATAATTTTACTTTTTTTATATGGATGACTTTTTTCTTGACTAATTGCTCTGTCTAAGGTTTCTAGTACCATGTTGAATAGAAGTTGTTAAAGTGGGCATTTTTGTCTAGTTTCTGATATTAGAGGAAAATCTTTGCTTTCATTTGGATATGATGTTAGCTATAGGTTTGCTATATATAGCCTTTATTATACTGAGGTATGTTAAGAATGAATTTTTATCATTAAAGGATGGTAAATTTTACCAACTGCCTTTTCTGTATATACTGACATGATCATATGATTTTAGTCCTTCATTCTGTTAATGCGATGTATCACCTTTATTAATTTATATATGTTGAAACATCCTTGTATCCCAGGGATAAATCTCACGGGGTGATGGAGAATTATCTTTTTAATGTGCTGTTAAATATGGCTTGTATCCCAGGGATAAATCTCACTGGATGATGGAGAATTATCTTTTTAATGTGCTGTTAAGTTTTTGGTTGAGGAATTTTGCACCTATATAAACAACAGCTATTGGCTGTAATTTTTTTCTTACAGTATTTTTGTCTGGCTTTTGTAGCAGGGTAGTGTTGACCTCATAAAATGAGTTTGGAAGTGTTATCTCCTCTTTCATTTTTTCTAAGAATTTAAGAATAATTGGTATTAATTCTTATTTAAATGTTTAGTAAAATTCATCAGTGAAGTCATCAGGTACTGAGTTTTTCTTTATTGAGAGATTTTTATTTATCGATTTACTTCCTTGCTTATTATTAGTCTGCATGTTTTCTGTTTCTTGATTCAATTTTGGTAGGCTATATATTTTTATTTATTTATGTCTTTTAGGTTATCCACTTTTTCAGTTTCTAATTACTCATAGTCATCTCTGATGCCCTTTTGTATTTCTGCATTTTTTGTTGTAGCATCTCCTCTTTTATTTCTGATTTTTTTTGTCTTCTTTTTTTCTCTTAGTCTAAGATTTGCACTTTTGTTTACCTTCTTGATTTGCAAATATTACTTCCATTGATTTTTTTATTGCTTTTCTAGTCTTTATTTCACTTATTTCTGCATTAATCTTTTCTATTTCTTTCCTTTTGCTAACTTTGAGTTTAGTTTGTTTTTGTCTTTCTAGTTTATTTAAGTAAAATGTTAAGTTGTTTGAGATCTTTGGGCTTTTTTCTGTTTATATAAGTAATTATTGCCAAAATGACCCTTATAACTGCTTTTGCCATATTTCATAAGTTTTGATATACTGTGTTTCTATTTTAATTTGTCTTAAGACATTTTTATTTTCTTTATAATTTTTTGACCCATTGAATATTCAGGAATATGTTGTTTAATTTCCACATATTTATAAATTTTTCAAATTTCCTCCTGTTATTTATTGCTAGTTTCATAGTATTGTAGCCAGAAAAGATACTTGATATGACTTCAATCTTAAACTTGTTAAGACTTGTCATGTGAAATGTTCTATGTATTCTTGAGAAAAATATGCAACCACTGCTGTGTAGAATATTCTGTGTATGTTCATTATTTTCATTTGATCTAAAGTGTAGTTTGTGTCCAGCTGGGCACAGTGGCTCACACCTGTAATCCCAGCATGTTGGGAGGCTGAGGCAGGCAGATCATCTGAGGTCAGGAGTTCAAGACCAACCTGGCCAACATGGTGAAACTCCATCTCTACTAAAAATACAAAATTTTCCAGGCATGGTGGTGTGTGCCTGTAATCCCAACTGCTTGGGAAGCTGAGGTGGGAAATCACTTGAATCTGGGAGGCAGAGGTTGCAGTGAGGAGAGATTGTGCCATTGCACTCTAGCCTGGGCAAAAGGAACAAAGCTATGTCTCAATAACAATAATAATAATAATAAAGTAATAAATTAACTAATTAAGTATAGTTTGTGTCCAATGTTTCCTTACTGATTTTCAGTCATGAAGATATATATATATATCCATTGTTAAAAGTGAGTTGTTGAAGTCATATTATCATTTTATTGCTGTTTATCTCATTAGATCATTTAATAATTACTTTATATATTTAGGTGCTCCAATGTTGGTACATATATACTTATAATTGTTATATTCCCTTGGTCAATTGACTCCCTTATCATTGTTCAATGACCTTCTTTATCTCTTATTACACTTTTTGCCTGAAAATCTTTCTTTGATAAAAATACAGCTACTTCTTTTCTCCTTGGGTTTTCATTTGTATGGAATATTCTTGACTTCTGGTCTGTGTATGTTCTTAAAGCTGAAGTGACTTTCTTGTAGGTGTCATACACATGGCCCTTGTTTTTCTTTCTTTCTTTCTTTCTTTCTTTCTTTCTTTCTTTCTTTCTTTCTTTCTTCTTTCTTTCTTTCTTTCTCTCTTTCTTTCTTTATTTTCTTTCTTAGATGGAGTCTCACTCTTGCACTCTTGTCCCCAATCTGGAGTGCAGTGGCACAATCTTGGCTCACTGCAACCTCTGCCCTGCTAGTGCAAGCGATTCTCCTACTTCAGTCTCCCAAGTAGGTGGGATTATGGGCATATGCCACTACACCTGGCTAATTTTTGTATTTTTAGTAGAGAAGGGGTTTCACCATGTTGACCAGGCTGGCCTTGAGCTCCTGACCTTAGGTGATCCACCTGCCTCAGCCTCCAGAAGTGCTGTGATTATAGGCATATGCCACCATGCCCAGCCTGTTTTTTTCTTTTATCCATTTCCTCACTCTGTGTCTTTGGTTGGAGAATGTAATTGATCTACATTTAAAGAAATTATTGGTAGGTAGAGAATTGATATGACCATTTTGTTATTCATTGCTGGCCATTTTGGAGATCCTTTGTTATTTTCTTCTTTTGTTGCTGACTTCCTTTGTGATCTGATAACTTTAGGTATGTATGCTTTGATTCCTTTCTTTTCATATTTCATATGTCTACTACAGGTTTTTGCTTCATGGTTACCATAAGGTCTGCATAAAACGCCTTATAGTTATAACAGTCTATTTTAAGCTGATAACAACTTAATTTTTATCAACTACAAATCTCTATACTTTTATCCCTCATGCCCATTTTATGATTTTGAAGCCACAATTTGTACATTTTTATATTGTATATACATAACAGATTAGATTCATAGTTATTTTTTACACTTTGTCCTTTACCTCTATACTAGAATTATAAGTGATTTGTACACCACTATTATAGTAGGAATATTCTGAATTTAACTACAAACTTACCAGTGAGTTTAATGCTTTCATATAATTTTATGTTACTAATTAGTATCCTTTTATGTTAACTTGAAGAATTCCCTTTGGTATTTCTTGTAAGCTAGCTATAGTGATGATGAGCTTTCTACGCTTTTGTTTGTTTGGAAAAGTGTTTATTGTCCCTTCATTACTGAAGGATAGTTTAACTGGATGAAGTATTCTTGGTTGACAGTTGTTTTCTCTTTCAGCATTTTAATTATCCCACTCTCTTCTGGTCTACAAAGTCTCTGCTTAGAAATTACTGATATCCTTATGGGAGTTCCCTTGTATATGATCACCCTCTTTTCTTTTGCTGTTTTCAAATTTCTTTGACTTTGATGTTTAGCAGTTTATGATGTTTCTCAGTGAAGTCTTTTTTGGATTGAATCTATTTGAAAATACTTACGCTCTATGTATGTGAATGTCAATATAGCTCTCCAGATTTAGAAAGATTTCAGCTATTACTACTTTCAGTAAGCTTTCTGGATGTTTCTCTTTCTCTTCTCCTTGGTAAAATTCCATAATTCAAACATTACCTCTCTTGATGCTGTTCCATAAATTTCATAGGCTTTCTTCATTACTTTTTGTGTTTTCTGTTTCTTTTTATTCTCTGACTAGATATTTTCAAATGACCCATTTTTGAGTTCATATTTTTTCTTTTGTTGATTAATATTGCTGTTGATGCTCTCTAATGTATTTTTATTTAATTTCATTGTTTTCTTCAGCTCTTGAATTTCCATTTGGTTCTTTTTTGATTATTTCTATTTCTTTATTGAAATTCTCATACTGATCATGTTTTGTTGTCTAATACTTTTGAATTGTCTATCTGCTCTCTTGTAGATTGTTGAGCTTCTTAATAAAATTATATTGAACTCCTTGCCAGGCAATTTGTAGATCTCGTTTTCTCTGGGGTTGGTACTGTAACATTGTTGTGTTCCTTTGTTGATATCATGGTTCTTTGGTTTGTGTTTTTTCGTTTTTTGTATCTTTGTGTAGGTGTTTGAATATTTGAAGAAGCTGGCACCTTCTCCAGTGTTTATTAACTGGCTTTGGAAGCAAAATTCCTTCACCAGTTTTCCTAGCTAGGGATTCTGAGGCTCCTTAAGCCCTTTCCTATGTATGTGCTTATTCCACACATCTTATTTTCTCCTGGAGGGAATTCCAAAAATCATATGCCATTTTTCAATTACTTGAAGCCAAGCTGGGTGCTGTTAGTCTTAACCATTTGTTCTATTTAGAGGAGTTCTCAGAAATGCTCAAGTTTGTGTGCTTTCTCCCAATCCCTCATAGTTGAGTTGTCTGCTTGTGTGAGATATTTGTATTTGATGTCTACAGCAGTACACCCAGGGAGCCAGCCTAGGGGGAAAGACTGAGGTGCACAGGGCACTTGAAGTGCTTCTGGTCCAGTTGTGGGGAATCCATGGATGAGACATCTCAAGCAGCTTATGGGTGGGCTTTCTAATGGATTCCATAGATAAGAGGGTCTATGATCCATCATCCCTGTTTTCAGCCTCTTCCAACCACATAGCTGTGCCAATTACCTAAGTATTCTGGGAGACATGCAAAAAAAAGTAGGTCTTCTTGGCCAATGTCCCACATGGCTAGAGGAGCTGAATGGGTTTCTCTTGGCACTGAGTTGTGCCATCTTGGGAGAGTGGTGATGTGAGTAAAGTAATACTGTTGTTTTTCCCTTTAGTGTGTCTATTGTTAAATTTTTTGCTTCAACACTGTGCTGGAATTTTTATGCTAAAACCCCATACTCCTACAGTGGTAATTTCATCCATGGGTAGTTGTCAAAATTGTTCAAAATTGATGTTTCTTGGTGAGGATCATGGTAGAAATGTTCTATTCTGCCATATTTTCTCAAGTGTGTTCTTTTTTTCCCTTGGGTGACTAAGAAACAAGGGCTTTTGTTTCCTCATCTGTAAAACAGAAAATTTGGAGTATGTAATAAAATCCATAGAATACTTCACTAATTACTGAGTATCTTTGCTTTCATTATCTTCTTTGATTCTCACACTAACTTATGAGGACAGTAATACAGGTTTTGAATTTTCATTGAATAGATGTAGAAAATGAAGCTTAAAGAAAATCCACTTAAGGTCATATTGATTGGGAATTGGTGAAACCAGGACATGGATCCAT